CAAATCTCTTGTAAGATTGTGGCCCAAGATTGTGTACACCTAAAGCTAAGATTTGAAGTCTATGAGCATGCCAGGGACAGAGGCAGGAACAGGGAGGGGTAGGAATTTATGGAGGGAAGGAGGAAGGGGGAAAAAGTGAAAGAGAACCACATTTATGGGGGGTTTGCTTAAAGGGATATTATCACTGATTTCATTTATTAACATGGACTATGTAACTACATAGAATATGCTTCTTTAAAAAAACAACATAAACAACACCAAAAAACAAAAAAACGAGAGTAAAGATTCATAGAGTGAACATACACACACGCACACCCCCTCCAGATTCCTTACGCCTCCGATCTGAATATTGGTCTAAGTGGCTGAAGAGAAGGAGAAGAAGTAAAATTGAAGTGGATTTGGAGCCTTTCGTGACATACAAGTTCATTTTAAACATATGAAAGGAAAAAAAATTGTGGCCCATTCAAATTTGTGGGAGTTCCAAGACCCATAGGTTAAAAAAAAAAATTGAAGCCAAACCCATTGCCATCGAGTCAATTCAAACTCACAGTGACCTCAGGGAGGGTTTTGGTGTCCACAAAGCTACAGGAGCAGATTGTCTCATCTTTCTCCCTCACCTTGACCTTGAAGTTAGCAGTCCAACATTTCTCCTACAGCTCTACCAGGACTCCATACCCAGGAAGGCCATATAAAGGGACTCCTTGTACCACGGTAGTGTCCAGTTTGGAAGTCAGACTGGCGGTCCAATTTTAGATTGGCTGGAGGGCATTTTTTTACTGAGAAATCGTAGGTTGTCTGGGTTAGGCTTTGGCTTCTGGAAAGATTAGACATTTACAGGGAAGAGAGGCTTAGTCAGGTTTAAGTTTGCTGACATGGGGCTGGCATAAGTGACTGCATCTTGGCCCTAGCGTATTCAGATTAGCACGACTGTGGCAGATTGTACTGTCGTCATCTCAGAGGAGTAACTTGAGGTTCAGAGAAGTTAAGAATAAGCTAAATGCTCGCTTTGGAGCACTTCACTAACACTGGGACAATACAGAGAAGATTATCATGGCCCCTGCAGAAGGATGACATGCAAATTCGTGGACACGCAAATTCATGAAGCATTCCATCCTTTTTGTATGATTGAAATAAAGTGAAATGAATTTTTTTAAAAAGGATGAGTTGTTACAAGGATCTACATTTAACCCCCTCCCTGGGGGATGGACAACAGAAAAGAGGGTGAAGGGAGACGTTGGACAGTGCAAGATATGACAAAATAATAATAATTTATAAATTACCCAGGGTTCATGAGGGAGCGGGGAGCAGGGAGGGAGGGGAAAATGAGGAGCTGATACCAAGGGCTCAAGTAGAAAGCAAATGTTTTGAGAATGATGATGGCAAAAAATGTACAAATGTGCTTGACCCAATTGATGGATGTATGGATTGTGATAAGAGTTGTACGAGCCCCCAATAAAATTATTTAAAAAAAATAAATAATAAAGGTTAAAGTCACGATCAATGGAGAAAAGAAAGAATGAGTAGTGGAAACTACTTTTGTACCTAGGCTTCCTTCCAACTAAATGTTTCCTTCATGTAGTGAACATTTATTATGTTCGTAAGTGCTAATCCTCTGATATAAAATAGGGTAAAATGGTACTGTGTTTCCCTCACTGTAGCTAATGACAGAGATGTCTGTCTGGGAGAACCTTGCACAGACTGTGTTTGGTAGAAAAATTCTCGGGATACACAAGAAAAGTAGATGCAAGTGCAGGCATCACACTCCCAGCCCTTGTACCAGGAGGGCAGCCTCCGTTTCAGGGTGACAAAGACGCAAAACGACGTCCTTTTGCAGGGTGACCTCTGCCTTCCTCTGGCCTCACCTCATCTAGTGCTAGAGCTTTAATGGAGAAAACACGTTCCTGTGAAGGAGCCAAGGTAACCTTGAAGGGATAAACGAACGTGCATATTGATGGAGCAATTTGAGTACGTATTGATTGCTGGTAGCTGTTGTCTGAATGCTTAGCTCATATAATGGGTAGTAGGGGGTAGTTATAAATAAGGCCTTGGCTACTTTTTTTTTTTTTAACCCAGAACACCCTTAGGGATCTTGGTTTTGTTTGTAAATACTCAATTGATAGAGAAGGCAGCACAATCTATGAAGTAACTTGATGGTTATTGATGTACAGGCCATGATAAACAAAGCTCAGCACCTATAGGTGACCACAGAGACAGCTTTGAGGAGAGGGCAGAGATGACTCTGTATCCGGAAATGCACATTGCAGAGAGGAATTACCCTGTTAGAGGTGGAATTAGAAAGGAACCATGTTGATTTTTATTCTGGAAGGAAGATGGTTCTGGAAATTTCTCCTTCCCACTAAACTGGATCATATGCAAAAACCAGAGGCAAGAGTGAACATGATGGGCTATGGGATTTTGCTTCTGTTTCTGTTCCTTGATGCTGTGGTTGTTAACTGACTTGCATTTATCTCAGGTTTGGGATGACCCAAAGAGCCATCCAGGGTTTCCTTCTCCCACCCCCACTCCTCATTGCCATCACATCATGAAACGTGAAAGAACCCTTGGTGGTGCAGTGGGTTAAGTGATGGGGTGCTACCCCAAATGTTGGTGATTTGAACCCACTAGCTGCTCTTTGGGACAAAGACGAGGCCATCAGCTTCGGTAAAGATTTACAGCCTCGGAAACCCTGAGGAGCAGTTCAACCCTGAGGAGCAGTTCTCGACTCTGTTCTAAGACTCCAAATAGACTTGGCAGCAGCGGGTGTGATTTGATTTGGTTATGGCATGAAATATGCCCAACCCACGGCTGTGCAATCCATTCTGACTCATGGTGAGCCTATGTGTGACAGAGCAGAACTGCCCCACAGATTTTCTCAGGCTGCAGTCTGTACCAGCGGAGTCCCTGCAGAGTGCAAACGGTTAAGCGTTTGACTGCCAGCCAGAAGATTGGCGGCTTGAATCCACACACCGGCACCTTGGAAGACAGACTTGGCAAACTGCTTTGAAAACATCACAGTCTCAAAGGTCCTGCGCTGTTCCCATGGGATTACCATAAGCTGGGATCATCCGGTCCAAATGGCCCATGCTTGGAAACTTCCAGCTACTCCTCAGGAGAAAGATGGCCTTTCTACTCCCAGAAAGAGTTACAGTCTTAGAAACCCAAGGGGCAGTTCTACCCTGTCCTGTAGGGTCATTATGAGTTGGTGTTGACTCAGTGGCAGATAATTTGGTTTGGGTTTTGGGGATTGACTTGATGGCCACTAACAAAACAACACAATCTTTACTGAAGCAGACTGCCAGCTCTTTCTTCTGCAGCACCGCTAGGTGTGCTCAAATGGCCACCATTCGGGTGGGTAGTCAAGAGCTCACTGTTTGTTCTCCCCAGACCACGGCCTGTCATGTCATGAGGTGGACAGAAAAGTCACATTCTTGGCTTTCCATGAGAGAAGTTGTGTTAGTCTGGATTGACTAGAGAAACAAATTCATAGACATTCATATGTGTATAAGAAAGAGCTTTATATAAAAGAGTAATTGTATATTGAGAAAACATCCCAACCCAGTCCAGATCAAGTCCATACGTCTGATATTAGCCCATATGTCCAATACCATTCTATAAATTTCTCTTCAGATTCACACAGCCATGCAATAATACTGAATTCAGGAAGATCACAGGCCAGTGGGTGGAGAGCCTTGTGGATCCAGTGGCAGTAGAAGCATCTCCATGCTGGCGTGGGTCTCTATGTGGCTCCTCCAGCTCCAGGCCTCTGGCTCCATCAGTGTAGCTACATGTGTCTTGTCAGTAGGAAGATGAAGCAGAGAGAGTGTGTCTGGCCTCCAGTGAGCTATTTATATCCATCACACCTCCAAATGAGGTCATCAAGCTGTAACCTGATTGACAGGCTAGACGCCACCCCTTCACTCTTAATAACCTCAAGTTGACACCAGGTTATGTAACTACCACAGACGTCTACTGATGGATTGCAGGAATGAGAAGCTGAGAGTCTATTATTGGTGGATTCCAGGAGAATGGGCATCTAGCAATCTTGAAATTGTTACATCTGTGCAGCATCCATGCATTACACATTTACTGAGTCCCAGGCATTGGGGTTCTGTCTGGTGGCACATGGAATAGCAAACCCACAAGCCCCTGACTCAGGCACTCACACTATTCTCATGGAGAAGGGAAGACAGGTGTGTAAGCCAATGAAGGTATCCCCATCCAAATACAATCTTTTTACCAATGTGCTGGAGGGCATATTTTCACATAGGGAAATCTAAATTCCATTGTTTTATCTTCAAAAAATAAAAACGTGTTCCTATCCCATCCAAAACCCCAGCCAATTTCTCCAAGAATTGCTTGGAGCCCTTTTAAACACTGATACATCTATTCACCCATGATTTCTGCATTAATATAATGCCTTTAAAGTGCCGGTTGTCTAATTTAGCACTTAATGGGCTCCTTGTTTTATGTTTTGTTTTGCTGTATGCAATGATACAGAAGTGTATTGGAGATAAATTGTTTTTACTTTTATTGCAAAAAAGCCCCACCATGCCCTCAAAGGACCTCACTTCGACGGCTGCCCTTAATCCCCTGTGCACTGTAGTCCAGTGAAGCATTCTGGAGCCAATAATACTTTCAAAGTATTTCTGCATTTTATCTTGCACAGAAAAAGTCATAGGCATTAAATGGGGCTATGAGCAGGGCCGGGGCATCTTTTGTGTGTTGATCTCTCTCACTACATTTTGTCCCCTTTAAAGCGTGGACTGCTCCCAGACCTCTTGCCTTCACCTGCCTTCTCCAATGGCTTTGATGACTCTTTGGAAGGCATTTTCACTGAACATTGTGGGATCTTGGAGAATGACCATGCATAATACTATGAAACAATGGAAGGCTGAGATAGGGCCCTTTGGGGGAGAACCGCCTATCCCTTGACCTCCTCTTGCCTGCACGTGCATGCAATCTAAGCATGCAAATTCATTACAATGGGCTTTTTACTTGGATCGGGATTGTTGCATGAAAAATGTTGCAAGTCATTATAGCAACTGTTCTCCTGACGAGGAGTCCCTCGCATAGCACAGGATACCTGTCATCTCCAGGGAGGTGGAGAAAAGGTCTGGCGACCACACAGGAGAGTGCTTCAAGGCTGCCAGGAAAGGTCAGGCGAGATCGGTCAGAAGGCACCAGGCACCAGGCCGGCCTGCAGGATCGTGGTTCACCAGATAGGACAGGTGGATGGGAAGAGACTTTGGGCAGAGAGCAAAATGTGAGCCAAATCAGACACAACCCCATCTTCCTGTGTTGAGGAGACCGAGAGAAGATCCACATTGCTCAAGAGTAAGGAGCACGGAGAGGGCAGTGGTGGCCCAGAGTACAAGTCTCACCTTCCATGCGGGATACCCAAACGAGCCTGGTGGTGTTGTCAGGTAAGGGTTGGGCTGCTACCTGCAAGGTAGGCGGTTCAAACCCACCAGCCCGCAGCTCCTCAAGAGGAAGATGAGGGGACCTGCTTCCGTAAAGAGGCACAGCCTCAGAAACTGCAGTTGGGTAACTCTGAGTTGGGAAAACCACTTGCTGGCCATGGGTGGGGGTTGTATGCAGAAGACCCAGCGGCGAGCACTCTGTGAGCTCCCTTGGTTGAGTTTTTGTATCGTGAGCGCTGAGTTCAGAACATTCAAAAGGAGAGTGCTGTCATTTAAGCCGGATAGCAACTCTTTCTGGGGAAGGCATTGCTCCCATCCTGGGGCGAGTGAGGCGTCAGGGATAGAGGGGTTGGAGTCCACATGGAGACT